TCAGCGCTCGGCTGGTGCCGGCTCTGGACTCAACAATGTGTGTGAACATAGACTGTGAAACATAAGTAACGCGTGTGAAGTAGAAGACAATAATGAGGTTAGCGCCATCCGTAGCTTAGGAATAGGTTGTACGCAAATGTCGGAGCTAGGGTTGGGTACCAAAACTCAGTGCCAATAGGGAACCGGTTCTGACGTAAACGGTAGTAATCAGACCAAATAAGAACAAAGATTTCGGATTTCGGTCCCTGAGTCTCTGTGTCATGAGGCACACACATGCAAATATCTTGCTCTCTCCCTCGTGCGCGCACTATACAGTTTGAAGCACAGTCTGTTCTGTCTAGCATGCACGCACTTTTTCATCTCCGTGCGTGCTATAAGTCTGTTTGACGCACCCACCGCTAGCCTAGCTTAGCACAAAGACTGGATGTGAATGGTTGCAGCTTTCATACTAATCCAAATGAGTGACAAAATAACGCAAACGTTTTCCTATTTACATGTTGTGGTTTCTATAGTCACAGAGTGTGCAAATTTCAAGGCCATATGAGACACAGACATCTTTTAACCGTATAAATAATTCTGAAGGCGAAGCACTGCTACTTGGGCAGAGGGATAACCATCACCTGAGACGCACCGTGACAAGGAGCAGAGTGTTCGCTCAGTGTTTGGGTAACAGAGTCAGCAATTAACGTTAGATAGAAAAGCATAGTTTATCATGGGTGTTTGCTTTATTGTATGAGCTGTGACAATAAACAGGGGAGACCAGGTACCATGTTTCATTGATTTCCAACCAAAAACGCACCCAGATTTATAAATATCACATGAATAAATAATTATTATTACAGGAATCAATATATTTTAAATGCAATTTATTAGCTGAACCAAATGTATTCAACAGTATATAATATACAGTATAATTGCATTACTATAGGATAGAATACGGGAAAAGTAATAGCACAAATTGTTTTTGCACAATGAACTCACAGCCTATCGTACCCTTTTGCACGCTCAAGTTCGTTATTTCCATGGTTATTTCAAATTTAGGCTACTAGGCACGCCGCGCGCAGGGTGCAAGTTCAACGTGGTGAACGCGCTCGTTTTTTTTCCAAGCGCGTCCGCACCGCATCAAGATAAAAACATATTCATACCCTAATCATAGTGTCACTAACGTTACATTAGCTCTGGCTAATGGCACTGTTACAGTAGGTCATCTAAAAACATAACGGAACACTTACCTCAGCCGCAGGTGATCCAATTGTCCTGTCTGTGCTATAGATGGGATGGCCGTATCCTTCAGCACATTATGGTCCGTGTGGTAAATTCCATTTTTTCAAAATAGTCGTCCATTGAAATGTACCGAGCAAACATAATGTCCCTTGATAATCTATTTAGGTGTGTTTGGATAAATATCCAGAGTAAGTTAGCCATTTCTTCATCCAGTCAGCGTTTTTAGTTGAAATTCTGTGAAACATGGTATTACCTCCCCTGTTTACAGTCACAGCTATTTACAATAGAGCAAAAACCCATGACTGTAAACTACGCTTTTACTATTTATAAATTGCTGACTCTGTTACCCAAACACTGAGCGAACTCTCCGCTCCTCACCACTGCGTGTCTCAGGTGATGCGGTTATTACTCCGTCAAAGTAGCAGTGCTTCGCCTTTAGAGAATAGTTCCCAGGTTTTATACGGTTAAAAGATGTCTGTGTCTCATTTGACTGTGTTATTTGTACATTCTGTGACTATACAAATCACAACATGTAAATAGGAAAACGTTTGCGTTATTTTGCCACTCATTTGGATTAGTATGAAAGCTGCAACCATTCACATCCAGTCTTTGTGCTAAGCTAGGCTAGCGGTGGGTGCGTCAAACAGACTTATAGCACGCACGGAGATGAAAAAGGTATGTATGGACTTATCTAACTCTGGAGGGTAAGGTGAATAGGCTAAAGTCCCAAAAAGTCGGAGTGTTCCTTTAAGGCTGCATTTGTTACATAAAGCAGAGTTAATTTGTCCTATGCATAGACTGTAAAAAAATATGGACGTAGTGTCCGTGACGTCACCCATAGGTTTCTGAAAAGCGTTTTTGAAGCCTAAAGTGGGCGGGGCCGGCCGTCTCCATCTTGGCAGTGCGTCACCTCTCGTCACTACCGGATAAATTAAAATGGGCAAAGAGGCGGGACGCGGGTGGAGCTGAGGTGCTAATGCTATGCTACTGCCGCTGAATTGACAGCTGATTGAAAAAGTAAAGCCAATGCTTAAAGTTCATGTTTTGCCCTTCGAAATATTATAATAATTAAGACGCAACTAAAAGTGATACTATTTACTTTACTTTTTTAATCAACTTTATTAATCTCACACAAGGGGCAATTAGTTAAGAGCATGTATACAAGTACATAACACAGATCACACACATTTCTCACAACATACAAGCAGTCAACTATGTGCATCGTGATGCATTCTGCTAGTTAAAAATGTATTAATTACTTACAATATTGCTCAAAGCTTGTGCATGTGACAGTGATTCAAGGCAAGCACACGTCAGTCGGCATCTCACGTCAAGTTCGTAAAGAGCTTTAATTCAGTCTATTTTACAATCTGATTTTGGCCGCCTCTCAGTTTCTCAGATGGGTCAAACCAAAGATATTACCTCAGAACTTCAAGTAAATGAACTAGAAATCCGCGCTCATTCAAAGGTGTGCATCTATTGCATGGACGGAGAGAAAGCACTGAAATCATCAGACATCCATTAATCCATGTGAGGGAAACAACTGGAAACACAGCACTGGTTATTCTCTCAACACGACGGAATCCAATGGCGTGCACGGGCGAAGGTATAATACATGTATTAAATTGTATGAAATAATCCCGGAAAAGCACAAACACAGCTGAGGGTGACGCTAACAGACAGCAGACAAACGACTAGCAGTGAAAGCAGCGGCAAGAATCCAGTAACTCAAAAAGTTCACTGAACGGAGACATATGTTGGTGCTGAGAGAAGTGATGAGCACGAGCAGCTGATACTGCGCATGCGTGTACTACCGAACGTACAGCGGTCGGATAACCAGTACAGAACCGACTGTTTCTTTAGGACACATGCGACATATTGAGAACTGATGAGTTGATGAGCTGAGCATGCGTGCATTTTTTTCAGGGACGAAATGTATGTTTCCAAGTCTTTAGTTGAACATCAGTAAGTGTAACAAAATAAAACATTTTGGAAACATGTTTATCACATAATTACTGTATTATCACTGTATTATTTTAACGATTGGGAACAATGATTGGATTCTAAAACTCTCAAACTAAACATTTATAATTATACTAAAATAATATTTTCAGGAACAGCTCATTTAATTTCTATGTAACAATATAAATATTTGATGTAAACTCTTGCCAAGGTTTTAATGGTGCACTGCTTAGTAAATGTTTATAATGTGTTAACATAAGAAATTAAACATACATGTTTAATTCGTTATGTTAACAGTAACACATTATAAACATGATACTGTATAGGCTACAGAAGGCTATATTGGAGACAGACATGCATCGATTTTTTTAGTTTTGTCGTCTGTATATTCAGGTTTCAGCTCAGCAAACACAGGCCTATGCTATGGTTCTCGAGCCGATCCTGTACTCCCAGCTAAAGGAAGGACAGCGAGCCCCTGGTGGGCCAAAGAAACGCTTTAAGGACAATATTAAGACCAACCTAAAAAAGTTTAACATCACATCTGGCGACTGGGAGAATCTAGCATTTAACAGGTCATATTGGAGAAAGGCAGTGCTTGAAGGTGCAGCACACCACGAAACAGAACTTCGCTGCGCCGCAGATGCAAAGCGGAAGCAACGCAAGGACAAACAGAGAAAGGCTCAACCACAACACAACACCTCAACCTTTCAATGCCAACACTGCAGTAGAATCTGTGGATCAAGGATTGGCCTCTACAGCCACCTGACTGAGGATCCACAAATAAGGTGACCCAACGGAGAGGACAGTCATACTCGTCTCGAGTGACCGCCGAAGAGGTTGTTGCAGTTCTTGTGCTAGTACAGAACCGAGAACTGTTTCTTTCGGACACGTTCGGAGAACCGATGAGCTGGAGATACTGCGCAATGCGCATGCGTGATAGCACTGAACAGAACTTTCTTTCGGCCGGCTGATCCTGTGCTGATATACGAGCACGCAGTAGTACGGGTGAACCCAGGACTTAAATGAGAGGGCGAATCGGCGAAATGTAAGTTTATTTAATAACAAATAAAATGATGAAGACCATTTATGCATTTTATATATTTAAATCATATAAAACATCCGCGTTAGCACATCGCCTAGCTTCAGCAGGGTCTGTTTTCAAAATGTAAATGTAAGAAACTTATCCAAGATGATTATGATGATGTGTACTATTATTTAACTGAAGTTATGATTACAAATGCCTTTAATTTGAAGTATTTTTATCCGCCGGGATGATAGAATTGACGTCATTACGTGATGACGTAAAAGAACTGGTGAACCATTTTTTTGAACCGGTTCGCGGAAAAGAACCGGACTTCCCATCACTAGGAGATACAGATTTCTGCAGCCTGCCTCAAGCAGCCACTCGATAGATTGCAGTTTAATTCACTTCCGTGTTGGCTTCAAGAGAGAGAGAGAGACGGGGAGGTTGCCGCTTGGTCATATGTATTAATTATTTTCTTTCATAAATTAATTAATCTCTCATTTTTTAATACATTGTGTAAACATCAACACTAACACTGATGATTTTATTGCTTTGTGGTTTTCATAGCACAAAGTGATTAATAACATAAAACAAAATAAATAAAAAATAAATAAAAAAATTGGGAAAGGTAGCTTTTCCACCTTTTGACCACAAGATATCGTTAGAGTGCACCGTGTTGAAAAGCTGCGAGTAATTTACGACTGAGGGGAAAGCCTCATTACTTCACAAATCTTCATTTCACCATCATTAATAATAATGATTAAGTTTTGATAAAGCATTAGGTGTGTACCTGGGGTGCACTGGGTACCTGTAGATTTGAGGAATTCTTGTGCAGATCCCAGGATGACGTTGCAGTCTCGGTCTGTGCACAGGAAGAGCCCCACTAGCGTCCGCCCGTCTGTCATCCGAATCCTCATACTCTTATTGAGGAGGTTCTCCAGCTTGCACCGAGCCAGCGAATAAACAGACTCGTCCACCTGAGACACAACATGATTGACATCAACAAAAAATAGCTAACAGTTAAAACATATTGATCCAATTCAATGGGGTCAGAATATTTAGCCACATATAATTGTTCTTTTCAAAAATAATAATCTATCATAAGGCATATCATTTAAAAAACGGATTTGATTAAAAGTGTGATCCCAATAAAGGCACTGACAAACTAAATTAATCAGTCATAGTGCTTGCTAGCAATAGCTTCAGCGCTAATATTTCACTGGCTCCATGTGACAACATATTCAGACCTCAGTTTGCATTTCGGTGCCGTTCTCTTCGCTCTCTGTCGCCATTCGAGCCTTTTTGGTATATCAATTTTGTATAAATGCGACTCAAATGGGAAAGAGATAGAGAGAGTTATCCCAACAAAGATGTGTCTTCTTCAGGTCGTACAATCTGCTGTAAATATTTCGTTTGAACAAAGTAACAGCGCCCCAGGTGAAGTGGCGTGCACACTGCTGTTTTGAAGCCAGCGCAATAACGACTGATAAAATAATACATTTAAAAATAGTATAATTAAGGATTAAACGCACATGTGATTCTGAAGAAGTCTTTGAAAAAAATGCTCAAGACATGGTTCAAAGGTTTAAGAAAAGAGGGTATAAACATAAGACTCTAGATATAGCCTACAATAGAGTAAAATAATTTGGTAGAGAACAGCTGTTGGTTAAAAAACAGAGGCGACAACAAGAGCCAAACCAAGTTTATTTTGTTACACAATACAGTAGTCACGCTAATAAGATAAAGCAAATTATTAAGAAGAATTGGGACATAATAAAAAGTGATAACGTGTTGAGAGATATACTGCCGGAGGTACCTATCACCTTTAAACGAGCTCCTACTCTAAAAGATAGTCTTGTGAAAAGCTATGCCTCCTGTAGAGAATAAAACCTGGCTAGGCAAAATAAGAGGTAATTATAAGTGTGGAAACTGTAATCATTGTAGCAATATGGTAAAGACCAATACTTTTACAGATGTGACAACAAATCGCGAATACAGTATACATTCATTTATTAATTGCAATACCTCATTCGTTGTCTACAGACTTGAATGTCCTTGTGGTTGTTTTTATATTGGAAGAACTAAACTTAAAGAAAGATTAGCAGAGCATAAATATGCAATAAGAACAAGCAACTACCAGTAGCCTACCCTATGGCTCTACATTATAGAGAGGCGAACCACGGAAGTAGCGATACTTTAAAAATCTTTGGGATAGAACATGTTAAAATATCACCAAGAGGGGGAGATAGACTCAAAAAACTTTTGCAAAGAGAATCTTTTTGGATTTACACTTTAAAAGCTAATCAATACCCAGGTCTAAACTTGGAATTGGATTTTTCTCCTTTCTTGTAATGGGCTATATGCATAAGTTTATGTTTTGCTCTATGTATCAGTCTATATAGATATTTAAAATTGCATCTTGATGTGAAAAGAGGTATATTATAGAAATTGTAAAGGTATTTAACATCTGAGACTGTACATATTTATTAGAGTATGAAAATAATTTTTTATTTATTTATTTATTTTACTATGTACTCTTTTTTCTGTAATTTGTCATATAAAGTAACCTCTTGTTATATGTATCCATTTATATTGATATTTTAAACTATCCTGATATGTAAATGTGACCTGTCTTATCTAGAGTAGGTTGTCCCTGTTGCTCTTGGTCAGGTGATATGTGTAGATGAGCACCTGTGACTTTTAGGTCATGTGACTACATGTGGATATGCTTGCAGTCTACTGACTGCCATTTTGAATTTGCCCTGAAGAAGGCCAATGAGGCCAAAACATGTTGGCATATGTTTTTAATGGATAGCCAAGTTTAAATAAAGGCTTTTTATATTTATTTTCCTTTCGAGTGCCTCAGAATTACTGTTTATCTGGGAAACACTTTGGATCTCCAAACTGAAGAGCAGCAAAGGAACACACCTCGTAACACCCAAGTAGCACTCCTAGTAATTCATTTGTGGACATAGTATAATTAAGAATTTCGAAAGGGTGAAACATTTTAAGGATCTAATTGAAGGACAAATATATAAAGCAACTAAACATGTTATATATTTTATTTGTCCATTATTACTGTTGATAAACATTTAATTTGGATAAAAAGTGAGTTAACACATCAGCTACAACCTCAGCATGTAAATGTAGCATTGAGCTCATAAATCACAGAGGTTATGTGAATCTTGTCAGGATGTCACAGGGACAGAAGAACAGATGTGTGTGTATCCAGTGAAGAGAGGCTTATGATGCTGAATGCTGTCATCAAAGGCTTTGAGTGAGTGCACTACAGAAATGGATAGCAAAATCTATTAAATCTTAAATTGTAGTTTATTTGAATTATTGTACTTTCAAACAGAGAAATTACAGCACTTTTCTGATTCTTAATTTCTGTTCATTTGCTGCAGAGCATTTGTGGTGTAGCAGGACCAGCGATGGCAGCATTTGTTGGGGGAAAAAAGGTTTTAGGGATTTTACTCCAATATAAAAGTCATTTTAGTTATTTTTTTTTTAAATAAATAAATCAAATGACATTGTGCTGTGCTGTTAAAATGACTGTTTGTGCATTTTTGTTGGACCTGAATTCTGCAGAATGGTGTGAGCACTGAGGATGAAGAGCACATAGCTGAATCCTGGAAGTGGTGCCATGGATGAGACCCTCTATTGCTCCATCTGCCCTAAGATTGTGAAGCGCAGCGCAGCAACAAGGCTCACCTTTGATGAATTCATCACAATAAAGCCGCAGAATGGGAGCTGCTGTGTTGAGATGGCAGTAAGATGTGGGGTTCAGTGCCTGTAAATATGCTTAGTTTGAAAAAAGCTTTGTTCCATTTGTTGTTGACTTGTATATGCAGTTGTTTATTATGGTTACTTTTATTTGTTCTTTTACTCATTTACTCATTTATTCATGTTTCTTATCATTGTCAGTATATAAAATATAATCATTTAATTAATGTATGCATTAATTCATTGCTTGACTGACAATTGAGATGTTTCACTGCATTCATCAATATAAATCGAATTGGTTACCTAACGTAACCTCGGTTCTCTCTAGATGAGGGAACAAGTATTGCGTAAGCTAGCTTACGCTACGGGAAAGATGAATCTTTTCTGAGATATTGAAGCCAAAAAAATTATCCTTAATTTTGTATTTTATTGTCAACGCAATGCAGCAGCTGCAGACCTAGAGCGGGCTAGCTAGCGAGCTCATTGGTTGCTCTGCGGCAAACTGCAGCAGCCTATAGATGATCTTGAGTGAACTCACGTCCAATGAAGAAGAAGAAGAAGAAGTTTTATTTATATAGCGCCTTTCCAAAGCTCAAGGTCGCTTTACATGGTACATGAACAATACATTTAAACACTGACACACAGCTAACAGTCACAGAGGATACAAAATAGTCACATTTAAACGAAGTACATGTTGAATAGATATGTTTTTAGCTGTGTCTTGAAAGCAGTCATTGATGAAATATTTCGAAGTGAAAGGGGCAGTGAATTCCATAATGTTGGCGCATTTACACTAAATGACCTTCCACCTACTGTAGATAATCGATAGCGGGGGATGGACAATAAACCAAGTTCAGTTGATCTGAAAGAGCGTGCAGGACGGTAGGTGAAAAGTAGATCAGACAAACAATGAGAAGCGCTCGCGCCGTCATTGCATCATAGCGCGCCAGAAAGGGCATGGTTAGAGTGTATATAAGCGATGTTCGGAGGCTAATTCCCTGGTTTTCATTGACTGAAGCGAGAATCACTTTTTAATCGGCTGGTACGCAATACTCGTTCCCTCATCTAGAGAGAACCGACTCGTTCTCTTACGTGAGGTTCTCTCGTATTGCGTAAGCTAGCTTACGCTACGGGAACCCATTGTCAACGCCGTGCGCTAAGCATCCACTACATGAGCCCCGGGGAGCCCTTATGAGTGGGGAATAATGGTGGCTGGCAGGAGTATGGGCCAGTGTGTATGTAATACATAAGCACGTAGTGGGAAGGGGAAAACAGAGCGGTGGTGCCGGTCTGTGTGGAATGTATCCCAGGTATCCCCATGTGCTCATCAGGGGATCTGTAGCGTATTAAACCGCTAATAGTTTTGCCTGCAGGGCGGGCACTTCCAGATTGTAAAATGTGGGTGGAGGGGGAAGCCCAGCCCGCTGCCACACATATGTCATGAATGGAAATCCCACTGGACCACGCCCACGAGGAGGCCATGCCTCTAGTGGAGTGAGCCCTAATGCCTAATGGGCATGGCAGGTCTTTTGACGCATACGCGGCCGCAATAGCGTCCACTATCCATCTGGACAGTGTCTGTTTCAATTTGGCGAGGCCTTTAGTGTGCCCCCCGAACGAAAAAAAAAAGCTGCTCAGAGCATCTGAAAGAAGCAGATCGCGCAGTATACAATCTCAGTGCTCTAAATGGGCAGAGGAGATTGGCGTCTCATTCGCTATCGGATGCTGGCAGAGCCAACAGGGAGATAACCTGTGCTTTGAAACGGGTACCAATCACCTTAGGGACATAACCGTGTCTAGGATTTAAAATGACCTTGGAGTCATTTGGTCCAAACTCAAGACATGCGGCGCTGACAGACAGCGCTTGGAGGTCTCCCACATGTTTAACTGATGACAGGACTGTCAGAAAAATGGTTTTGAGTGAAAGGTATTTCAGATCCATGAATTGAAGTGGTTCGAAAGGGGCGGCTTTCATAGCCTCGAGGACTATAGAAAGATCCCATATAGGAACCGATGGGGGGCGCGGAGGGTTCATTCTTCAGGAAGCGGATGACCAGCTTGTTTTTTCACATTGACTGGCCATGCAGGGGTTCCGCGAACGCCGCGGCCAAATATACTTTAAGCGTGGATGGGGACCTGCCCCTATTCAGTAGCTCTTGTAAAAACACAAGTAGGGACGACACCCCACAAGTCCGTTGGTCCAGATGCTCGGAAGCGGGGAGGGTGGCGGTCGAACTGTAGCAAATAGCCCTGTTTTATCGTGCTCTGCACCCATTTGGATATCCCTGGGATAGCTTCCCATGCTTAGAAGCACAAAGCTAGAGGGTGAATGGCCAAATCACGCTGATTGCCGCACACAGCAAGCTGTACAGAATGTGTGAGCGCCAGGGCCGGCTTTGCCGACAGGCGACACAGGCGGCCGCCTGGGGCGCCATCTGCTGGACGGGGCGCAAATTGCAGAATTGAAAAAAAAAAGTTAATTAAATGTATGTATCGTATGATGAAAGCTGCACACACGCTGTACACTTTTACTGTGCATTGTCCACACACTGCTTGTTTTTGTACATTTCTTTTACAAGATTATACAATCCTAAAAAACGACTGAGTCACTCTGACAGGCAGCTGTCAAACTCACGCGCGTTGCTCAGCAACCGGGAGTGGAGCGAAAACATCTGACAAGCTGGTTTTAGCACT